TTCTTGTGATTCTTGTGATTCTTGTGATTCTTGTGATTCTTGTGATTGTGTGAAAAGACATTTTGCGTCAAAGCAGAAGGCAAGTTACCAGTCTGAGCTAACCTCCTTATGGGGGCAATGTTATGGTTAAGATAGCAAAGAAAATGAAATGTTCTCCTTGAACTGTGTGTGTCATGATGACAGTATGGAGTGTAGTAACAGTGTGTAGGACTTGCGAGTCAGCTTGGCTATAGTTGGTAGTGAATCCAGAACAGCACAGAAATGAACTGGGTCAGTAGAAACCTATATGGGACTGAGTGAAGCTCATTTTCCCCTACTTCTCTCTAACAGTATGTGTAGTAGTGTGTGTAACATGATGTGGCTGAAATTTCCTAACGGAGGGAGTAAAGGGAACTGAGGAGGAAGTCAGAATAACACTCTGCTCTGGGAGAGAGTTTGATCTCCTCCAGTATCCTAGGGAAACTCACTGCAGCATGACAAAGGAACAAAGAAGCAATATAATCCTTTCTATACCTAGGATTGAGTAACACGTGATTCTTGTACGTTATTTGAAGGAGAGTTCTTCACTTGAACATCTACATGAAAATCCCATTATGCTTTTGTGCCTCGGCATTTCATTCAACACCGTGCTTTTTTTTCTTGGTAACAGTGAATCCATACCAGCAAGCTCTGTGAAAGCTTCCAGATAAACTTTTCCTCTTACTAGTTCACCCTGTCCTTGCTGTTGATATAGCTGCTACCTTGTTAAAGGTTTTCATGCATCTTCTCGGTGAGCAGTCTTCAAGTGAATTGAATGAACATATTATTTTTCACTTTGATTGGGGTTTTGTTACTGACTAGACTTTTCCAGCATTCTTCTGTATCTGAATTGTTGATCAGAATGTGCTTACAGAAGTAAATGAATTAAGGACTAAAATCAAAGGAATTAAGTGACCAGATGCAGCCAGTATGGGTTTATGAAAGGCAGGTCCTACCTGAATAAATTGATCTATGAGAAGATGATCTACTTAAGAGATGAGGAAAAAGCAGTGGATGTTTTCTATCTGTGTTTTAAAATGGCATTTTAAATGTAAACCATTTGACACTGCTTCCCATGGAATTTTCCTGGAGATGCTGTCTGTTCCTAGCTTAGATAGGTGTATGGTTCACTGAGTGAAGAACTGACTGAATAGCTGATAGGTCTGAAATAATCACAGTGAATTAAGTTCATCCTAGTTGGCTGCCAGTCACCAGGGATATTTCTCAAAGCTCAGTATTAGGGCCAGTTTTATTTCATGTTTTTCACAATGATCTAGATGAATGGATTGAGCACGCTTTCAGTAAATTTGCAGGTGACACTGAATTGCATGAGACAGTTGATGAGCTTGAGAGTAGGAAGGTTTGTGTATTTGTGACATTCTCTTATGATGACTTGGAATATTTACATAAGCATCTATTAGCTAGCCAAAGAAAATTTCTATGTAGGTCTCAGTTGAAAGTTTATTCTTAGAAGTAATTTCAGGAATGTTGATTTTTTCAGTCTCTGGCTGGTTCTTTTTGCTCTTACCAGTATGGCTTTTTTTTTTCTTTTTTTTAAGATTTTTTTTTTTTAATTTAATTTTAATTTTTTATGAAGTCCACTGTGGTGGAGTAGTTCTGTTCTTTATTCACATACAAGTGACTTATCTTCAGTACTGTCTGTTTCCCTGATCCTTAAAATTCCTTGCGGATTGTAGGATCTAACATCCTGGTCTAACCTAGCTGACCAGCTGCTAGAGTAATGTCTGTTAAACTGCATACTTTAATCTTTAAACTTTGATCTTTTGTTTCAAATATTGTCTCTTCTCATAACATTCTTAGATAAGGAAATTTGTTGCTATTTGTTATCAGCCTTCTAGTAACACACTTTCACAGATTTGAATCAGAGACTGGAAAACTAGCTCTACCTGAAATGGAGATAGCAATTCTGTGTTTCAAGAATGCTGCTGGAAAGTTAAGTCTGTCTTTCTTACCTCTATGGGCTGTCTGGTTAATAATTAAAGAACTGTAAATTTTGGAAGCTGCTGGTGAAGTTTAACAGTAATATGATTTGGATAATCTAAGAACTGACTTGAGTCTTAGATTAAAGTGTAGTCTAAAGCTCAGTCTATTTAAAGGAATAGTTAGGATAGGTTGCTCTGAGTTCTGCATACCATAACATCAGCAAATAGTAGCTTCAATAAAGTTATTTCACGGAGTTCTTTGAGAATTAAAATATC